TATATAGAGTGGTGTTTAAAAAGTTGTGCTAAAAGCGTTCAGTTGAACACGCTCAAAAATATTCAAAAATCGAATGCCTGTCGATTTCCAAACATGGCTGAAATGAGCATACTAATTTTGAGACACACATGCTACTAAGTGACAATAAGGTGCTCAATAGAAGTATGTTTTTACATATGTACATACAACATACATACATACATACATAACTTCACGCCTGTCTCCCATGGGGGTAGGCAGAGACTAGGGAACGCTAATTACTACGATTCCTACATACCCCTTTCGCTTCATCAACAGTATGTTTTTATGTTTGACATTAGCACTTTTAAATTTCCACCTCTAGATAGGTCAACACAGCCAAAGTGATCAAGCAACTCCCATCTAACTAAGATACGATAATTATAATTACCTACCGTTGAACGTGATTTATTGGACGGCTTCTACAATGCGTAACTGAACTTTTTGTCATATTTTAAGCGATCATTGCTCTACTGTACCGTTTGTGTGAAGACAAATATCAACTTTTGTTGAGTAAAGATTAATGGTATTTAATAGCCAGCCTATCTGTAGTTTTGATTATTAAAACGGTTTAAAGAAATCTACAGAGTACAGATATATCTCTAAATTGATTAATGAGACAGGACGCATATCAAGTAAAATACTAGTTTCATTTGCCGCGTGGCATTGGTTGTCGAGCATGCTGCTAATGGTTATTTATGGGCCCTGGTGTAGCTTGAAACTAATCTAGTAACAGTCACGAGAGTAAGCCGTACTACCTAATTATTTGATTACAAAAATACAGTAAGAAGAAGAAAATACCATTCAAATATATATCTTTTATAACATTTATTACAATTTAAAGTTAAATAAAAATAAGCTCATGCACTCTTGTGAAGGTCTGTGCGACGAATGATATTTATTCAGTCTTCACAAAGAAGGTTAATCTCACTCCTTTTAAAGTACAAATGCTGAGTATGTATAACCACTAAAATATTTCTGCAGTCACAAATGTTTTAGACTAAAGTAACGAAAATAAAACCTTAAAATTACACACAGTATAATTCAAATTTAAATATTTTACTAACTTCATTAAATAAACTTAAGAAACGAAACTATGTAACGTTTAACTTACACATAGAAGATAATTATCCTCTTTGTTAAAGTAAGTACTCAAAAAAATTAAATGTAAAGTTCGTAAAATGAAATATAATGTTTGCTAAGTTTTCTTTCTGCACATTTCGCAAAATTAGTTGATAAAATGAAGAATTATGAAGAGATAACAAACAAACGTCAGTACTTTAGGATAACCACTTCGTCTTCATCTATTATTAATGAACAATATCAATATAGACTCAGCAATTTAAGAGTAACAAACACACAAATACTTAAACACTCTTATTATTCACTTAAGTGCTCTTTATATACTGCACTTTTGACAGCACGATGGCATGTTGGCTGGGCAACCGACTGCCGCGCAGTGTAGCGGTTTTAATTCCCGCACGGAGCAACTCTTTGTGTGATCCACAAATGTCGGGTCTTTTTTTTTAAAGGGGGAAAATCATCTAATGACTGCTCCCGCCTGGGTAAGGCGGGAGGGAGTGTCAGACTCTTACTGACTAAAAACCACCCCGTTCCTTCTTCTGCACGTCGAGCCGGAGCCCCGGTTGACCGTTAGGTTCTCAGCGACTTGTTTCGGGTCTGGGTGTCAACTTGTATGTGAACTTGTATGTTTGTAAACGCACCCACGACACACGAGAAAATCCTCTTATGGAGCAATGTTTAAAAACCATACTGAATTGAAATTGTAACTTTTGTTGTCTCTTACTGAGCAGTGACTCAGTAACTGATCGCTGTCACTGACAATGGGACCGTTATGTAGGTGGTTCTGTGCCAGTACGGTACATGACATTGGGCTCGCAACGCCTTGATTAACTCCTTCATTTGTTTAGTTTACGGTATAACTGGATTGACTCAATGTAAACGTTACAAACGTCTTGGTCATGGTAATTCATCAAAATGTCACAGTTCACTGTCAAGTTTAGGTGCCATGATTGTAATTTAAACAATCGTGTTATTGGTAATAAAGACATTCTTCTTAATTAACTAAAAACCACGGGTTACTCACGTGAATATTCTGAGAAAAGCTCTACTAGTTTCGAACCACAGAGGGGTTCTTCCTCATGAGCAGCGTGCGCGGTCGCGGCGATGTCGCGCAGTCACGATATCTCACGATAGTTATTATAGAGAAATTCGTTTTGTAAAAGTAATACATATATCAAGAACTAGCCTATGTGTCATTATAGACCATAGTTCTGTCCCACATCCCGATCCCTTCAGCCGTTTTGACATGGTCGGCAAATACATAAAGTTATAAACTTTGCCATTTATAATATTATTAGAATTCAGATACATTAACATCCTTTAATTGACATGTTTTTAACTGATATGTACCCCAAAAAACTAATGTATTTTAATAGGGAAGCAAACATTATTAACAGCGAAAAATCGGCAACAACTGCAGACGATTTTAGAATTACAGAGCGTAAGGCACGTAGCTTATTTCTGTATCTTACAATTTTGAATCCAAATATTTACTTGTTCAAAAAGACCTTTCGGGTTTTTCGATTGGCTTATCTGTGGCGTGATTTGTTTTCTATTATTACCTCTTGACTTATATTAAAGTTATTGTCTGAATTGACTGTCTAATCGTAGATCACACGATAAAATTTTAGTCTTTATCATTGTACAGATAGATTTTTAGCCCTTCCAAAAACATATTATACAAATGTACATTTCGACGGATTAGTAAAGCGCGATATTAACAGGATTGCAGCTTTCAGATTCCACACGATCCATCATTCCAGGCTATCAAATATAAAGCCTGTAGTAATATAGGTATTGTATTTAGGTCTAACTGTGACCTAGATAACTGTTTGTGTTGTAGTTATTGATTTCCGAATCAGTTCGTGCAAATAATTTTTCTACGTTACTTTGTGTTCATATGAGCGATTATTTGTAATGGGAAAATGATTCATGTCGCTTATAGAATAAAGATAAGTTCGTAAAGGCTTGTTTGGCTTGCTGCTGACGATGATGGCTTATACCGTATTTACTTTTCTACCTATTAGTACATTTTCTTTGTTAAAATCTCTTGAATTGACATCGACAGTCGTCCTAGCGGCTGCTGGAGCAACGAGACATTTCTATATAATAAGTTGTATTTGTATATGAACATAACATAACATAACATCACGCATTTTATCTCCGAGGGGGTAGGCAGAGGTGTAGAATAGAGAATAGAATATAACTTTATTGTACACCATTAATAATACAGTACATACAGAAAAGGAAATGACAAATATAAATAAAAATAGTAATGGGCACAAAGGCGGTCTTACCACTTATAGTGATTTCTACCAGACAACCTTTGGGTGGATATAATGAAAATAAAATATTTAGACGGGTTGTGTACTAAGAAAATAAATAAATAACGTAGTAATAATACATACCTAGATACATGTACATACACATATATGTATGTATTATTACTATGTGTACATACATTATGCTACTGTACAATGTAATACCCACTTTTCACTATTTACGTTATGAGTTCCATGTAATAGGGAGTGAACCTATTGCCATATACCGGGCACTATTCCAAACTCCGTGCTACTCCTGTTTTTTTGGATATGAAATCACAAATAAATGTACCTAATATGTAATATATACCAATAGCGTAAAAAATCATTAAGATTAAACATATAGAATTGCCGTGTTCCAATATATTGTGTGCAATGTACATACATAAGTTATTTTTCTTAGTAGTTATAGAACATAGAAAAACAGTTTTCAATCTACACAACAGCAACGAAGCGAATAATGAATGCGATATCGATCAAATCGAATTTCAATGGTCGGAAGTGAACCGGTTCAATTAACTGCAAGTTCAATAAGAGAAAAGAAATTAATGCCTCTTTTAATTGATTTTTGTACTAAACACAGTATATAAAGGAAATTGATTATGAACGGCTAAAGGATTAAATTCGACTGCAAAAATGAAACTGCATTTTGCTAATTATGCTGTAGTTGCTATTTATATGAATTTTTCTATGCATGAGTTGTATGCTCTTTGACAAAGAAGGTTTTATCTCTAGGTACCACTCCTTCTTTCATTGTTCCTCTTCTTTTTCTGTTTTTCCTCTTTATCGGATCTTTTGTCTAAACGGTATTAAACATGCATTTGTTGCTCCATTTAAGACTTTTTGTCAATGGGTGTTATTGGAGTTTTTTTTTAATCTTATCACTAAATGGGGTTACGTCAATTTACGTTTATGCAATGTTCATCATAGGATGTACATAGGTACCAAGATTCTGGAGCTAGACTCTGTACGTCGAAGAAAATTCAGTTCAGTGGTCTATGTTCAGCAGGGGACAGAAACCAGCTGATGATGATGATAAACGGCAGTAAAATAACAATAATCTTACTAATAAGTACTATAAATGCACAAGTTAGTTTTTGTTACTCAAACACGTCACAACAACTGAAGGGATCAGGATTAAATTTAGAACAGGGATAGATTATGGCTTGGAGTAACATATGGGCTATTATTTATACCAAGAGATGTGTGTCTGTTGTACTAAAATCATATTAGACTTCACTTTCCTACATAACGAAATGAAATAATATCTTCCGGGAAAGCGAAGTCAGTGAACATTAATAAAATAAATAGTATTTATTTCATGAACAGTGGTTGTGCAAGTTCCAAAGTGAAAAAGGAAATTTTATGAAAATATTTATGCTTATAGTTACAATGCACACGATGTTAATGTAGGTACTCAGTTGTATAACGTGATTGCTACTTAAAATTTGAGCGCGTTTTTGAGTAAGTAATTGTTAAATGGGTTTAATTTTATGAGAATTTCTTTTATGTGATTTTTACGACTTGTGTGTACTTCTGTACGTCCTTGGTTAGTTGTAATTTAGGGTTGTTGTTTACCGTTACTGACGTTTGTGCAAAGATACTCAAGATTTCCTCGTGGCCCGTGGCCTGGATCCAAGACGCTGCGCAAACGCAGTGCGCGAGATCACACCGCGACGCGCACACGCGCGCTCCGACCGCCATCTTTACAACGCATTTTTAAATCTTCAATATTTATTGTAGTTCAAAATAAAATTAAAGTGAAAATTGTTTGAAAAGTGAAACCAATATGGCGTCTTTACTTCTTGTGTTTGGTGAGTGATTTAATTTTAAATAATGTTTGGAATAATTGCGACCTTTTCTTATATTTGTTAATGTCAAGTTGAAATAAGTTTCTTATTATTTTTACATTATATTAAAATGGTTTGTGTAGTGTGAATATACGCTATAATGAACCGTCAAACCGTCATGCTCCTTTTCCTTTGGGAAGAGCTGACGTCTCAACGGTTTATGCGTGTCTGAGCGTCTTTACTATTGCTCTTAGGCCCCTATTTATTTACCAGATACTGATCAGAGTAAAACTAGATATAATTGTGTGATGGTAATTTTTCGTCAGCTAAATGCTTAAAATGTGTATAAAAACAGTTCCTATAAAGACGTTTATTATGTTAAAAATTGATTTTACGGTTTGGGCTAAAAGTCTTATATCTCATATCTATACTATATAAAGCGGAAGAGTTTGTTTTTCGTTTGTTTGTTTGAACGCACTAATCTCCGTAACTACAAGTCTGATTTGAATAATTATTTTTGTGTTGGATAGCGCATTTATCGAGGATTACTATAGGCTATAAAACATCACTCTACGACCAGTGGGAGCTGAGCATAGCGTGTGAAACCGCGCGAAAGTAGCTAGTGTACTATATAATATATAGGTACTAATATTTGTTTCCTTAAAAAATCGCTTATACTAACTGAGATCGAAGATCAAACCCGATGTCTCGTGATTAGCAGTAGTTTACACAACCAATAGTTGATTGAGATGTCTACTGTTTAATTATTACAGGAAGAATGCGTGGAATGTAATTGAACGCCATTAAAGTATAAATTCGATTACAACACATTTTTAAATACAATGCAAAAGTACTTTCATAAGTGCACTTCCTAATTACATGTTAAGGGTTCCGTGCAATGATAGACAGACTGACATTTTTTGCATTTTAGTATTTGGTTTTGACATTCAAAAGTGCCTTAAACGGTGCCCGTAAACGAGCAGACGGATCACCTGATGGTAAGCAATCGGCGTCGCCCATGGATACCCGAAACACCATGCCGTATAAAGTGCGTTACCGGCCTTTTGGGAATTGGGAATTCCTTCCTGGTTTAATTGAAATAAATGATTTTGACTTTGATTTTGACTCTGAAGGACAATCAGTAAACTTACTAGGTTTTTTAAATATTCTCAGTGTGTTTAAAAAGCAATGGTTATTAGGTTTAGATACTACATAACATCACGCCGTTTTATCCCCGAAGGGTTTTTTTTAAGGGGGGAAAATCATCGAATTACTGCTCCCGCCCGGGCGGAAGGAAGTGTCAGACTCTTACTGACTAAAAACCACCCCGTTCCTTCTCCTGCACGTCGAGCCGGAGCCCCGGTTATCCGTTAGGTTCTCCGCGACATCCCAGAAGGTAGGCAGAGGTGCACATTACGGCACTTAATGCCACTGTAACACCAACTTTTCACTATTTATATTGTGAGTCCCATGCACCCCATGGGGTGAGCCTATTGCCATATACCGAGCACATCTCCAGACTTCGTGCTACTACTGAGATTTTTAAAATCTAGTAATACATTAATAGGCATGAATTTAAAAAAAAGTTTCGACATGAGCAGTCGGCCCATGGGAATCATTAAACGGGTTTGTTATATACCTATAATCTTCATGCTTGCCAGGAGGGCAGGAACTTAGAGATTGCAATGTAATAAGGTTCAGGTTTATCAGAGAGGGTGGTCTCCGTCGAATGTGTAGTCCTTTAGTCGATGATACTCACTCGGGATAACTAGGGTTGGCGACCAAATGTATTCTACTTTACTATCATCCAATGAACCAAGTGTAACTTAGCATAAGAACAGTCAATCATGAGCTATCATAAATAGCCTATAAGTGAGAGCCCACAGCTGGATTGTGGACCTCCTCTATCAAAGAGGAGTTTGCCATAATCTCAACGCTCAGCAAGGTGGGTTGAAGATCGCAGTTTAACACGTTGAGTACCGTCATTATAGACACAATTAAAGAACAATAGGTTGCGGTCACTGGTGTCCTCGCGGTATTTGACAGTTTAAAAAGGCTAACAATCCTTAAAACTAAGACCGAGACATAAATTGCCCCTTGGTCGATTCCATGACAGGGGAACAAGTATAGGATAGAGGATAACTGGGGAAAAGGACAGTATAAGAAGACAATGATAAATATGTATGTATGTCATCATCATCATCATCTTCAACAGCCTATAAATGCCCACTGCTGAGTAAAGCCTCTTCTCACATGAAGAAGGTTAGAGCAATACCATGCTTGCTCAACGCGGATTGGTGATTTTAATTTTTAATTTAGGTGGTTTCATCATAGGATGTTTGACCTTTATATGTAAATGATAGAGTAGAAAATCTAATAAAGAAATTTGACAGAAAAGAGTAGGTTGACCTACTGCCCAGTGTACGTATATAATTATACATTCCGTGTTTTCCTTATCGGTTTACTAAACACTTGCTTCCGCAATTTCACAGTTTATAATATTGCTTCCATCACTGCGTGTAGGCAACGATTGGTTTTTACTATTTTCTTTGTTACACTGAATTTAATATCGATTCACCTGTGTTTCAAACACGTGAATATAGGTTGTGAAAAAAAAACAAATAGTCTAAAAGAATATCAACATAATTGTTGGTCATATTCTCTTACTCTGGATAGCCAGACACCATCTACTAATATGGCACATAAGTACCTAATTTATCCGCACCACTTATGTTCATGGAATGGAATGAGTTTAATCGGAATTTAGGCATCTAATTTTTTTCCTAAAGACATACGTAAATAATAATACAATATACTACAAAATAAATGATTTTATACGAGATTAGTTTGGGAACCTCTGGTCTAAAGCTTTAGGAATACCTGGATTAGGTATAAAATAAATGTGACCGAAGTATTTTGCACTGGGTTCGCTATTGTCTACTTTCGAGAACTATGAATAGTCACGTAACTCACGTATTTATAATACCAGTACCGTAGTTATAATACGCCATTATTATAAAGATAAATTAATAATAACGACCATAATTTAATACAATAGAGTAGCCTTTTTTTAAAAACATAATAAAAGATTCCTACTCCTGAATACAGAGCAGAAACACATCTTTCATACATTAAACATTGGGTAAAAATCCTGCATGATTATAGCCGTACAAAAAAAAAATTGAGATAGATTTTTTTAAATGTGGGAGAGCCATGCTTCGGCACGATTGGGCCGGCTTGATCGGAGTGATACCACGGCCTTACAGAAAACCAACGTGAAACAAGTCATCAGTCTGATGCAATAAATAACGAGCCTGTTCCTAATCTTCACACCAGCTCCACAAACACAATGTTGGCTGTTACTAAGAACTTTTAAGTCAATTAGCTTTCTGCAAGTGGTTTTGCATACGTAAAATTCGGATTTACCAGTTATTGTCCACTAGCTGAGCCCACGAATTCGTTCGCGTGGAATAGTGATTTACAGTTCTTCCCCTGTAGATGATAGCGTAATAATATGTAGCTTTTATGTTGACCTGACCTGTAAGTAATATTCATGCAAAATTTGAAGTAAATCCATGCCGCATTTTACGAGGAGATTACATTTTTTTTGGAGATAACGCTCCAAGCATTCTTTTAAAAAAATATTGGATGTACAGTTTTCCCTTTTCTACGATTTTATTATAAGTATAAATATGTTTTTTTTTTTGTTCTTATTAAACGTTGCCCCCGCTCAGATTTTCTCCTGTGTCGTGAGTGCGTTGACAAAAATACAATGTCACATACTCATGACACCCAGATCCGAAACAACCATTTTTGGATCACACATAGAGTTGCTACGTGCGGGAACCGAACCCGGTACACGTTGGCGACAGCCAGTTGCCCAGCCACCGCGTCAACCGGTGTTATTAAAATACATAAACCTTGTTCTTGAATCACTATCTATTAAAGGGGTAATTTTAAAGATCTTAGCATATAGACATAAAGAAAGCGACTTTGTTTTATAGGTACTATGTTTAGTGATTAGTAAGAATACTACACATTATTATCACAGTTTTAAACGATCAGGTATAACAGAGAGCGCTGCTGTCCGGTATTAGTCAAAAGTGTAGTCCCTAACCAGCTCATACAATAGCCACAGCAAAGGTAGTGGTATCGAGGTGTGTAACAATTTTATTCTATTCTGCGGTCACCATACAGTACAATCATTGTACATATGTAGTACAATGACGGTGTTATCGCTGAGAGCTGTCAAATAACGTGTAAAAAATGAAGGTTAATTTGCTAATTATACTAAAATCTCGAATTAGGTACGATAGAACAAATTTAATCGATTTTAAGCAAAAATTAGCTGCCTTTTGTAAATATTGTGTATACATAAGTTCTCGGAATCCCTCCCTAAATCAACCAATTAAAAGAGTAAAGATTATGAATGGAGTTTCTTGCTAGTTCTTCTCCATTTGAAACATTTTGGAATGAGCACCTAGCTTCATTGACGGAGAAACTGACAGACTATTATTTATTTTGTATTTGTTGACGTTTCAAAAGTACCAAATTAGTATTAATAGATTCATTGAAATAAATAAATGAAAGCACTTTGACTTTGTAATCAAAATATTTCTTTACCAAGCAACTTTTGAACCTAAGTTACACAAAAATTTTGAAGATTGTACTACAATAAGGCCTTGTTCGACATGTTTCCCATGTTTGTACCTACTGGTACTTGCATTGGTGATAACTTGGCTTTCCTTTCTTTTTCGTTACTTAACATCACGCCTTTAATTCCCGACGAGGTGGGCAGAGGTGCACATTACAGCACTTATTGCCAATGTGTTGGACATTAAAGGCTACTTTTCAATATTTATGTTATGAGTCCCATATAATAGGGTATGTCCCTATTGCCTTATACCTGGCACAACCGCAGACTCCATGCCAATTATAAAAAAAAGAGTAATACTTTGCCTGAAATTGAACCCGAGACTCCACCTTGCCTCTGCGACCACTCGTCAACGAGACAATCTTTTTTCGTTAATTATAATAAAATTTATTACCGTTGCCAATTCTTTTACATATACTTAATTATTTAGATATGTATTAAAGTGGCAATGCAATTAATACTCCATTTTCATACTATATACATATAAATTAATGTATTCATTTTGGTTGTGGTTGCCCAACCTTTTATTTCACGAAAATTAAGTGCTCCATTAATTGTATCGAAATTTTAAGTGGCCAACTCAATATGCTGATACAGATTTACTTATACAGATTCACTTTGAATTTTTTTGTTAACGTTCAAAAGTGCCTTCCTAAGTAGTCTAATTTAGATTTTTTTTTAACATTGCCTCACACTATGATTTTCTGCTGTGTCGTGGGTGTGTTTAGAGCCAGTTTATGTCCAGACCCGGAACAACAATCTGTGGATCACACAAAGAGTTGTTCCGTGCGGGAATCGAACTCGCGACACGTAGAATAAATGATTTTGACTTTGACTTTGATGGTGTAAATAATGTTTTTTTAGGTACTGGTTAGCATTTTTTAATGTCTACCAATACAATATGAAAATATTGGAAGCCCAGGAATATAATACCAGTCCATCAGTCCATGTTGAAGACTCAAAATAAATTGCTATGCTTGTTGTGAACAAAATATATTCTCAAACTTCATTACATATTTCTAAGCTCCTTACCACGTAATTACTGAACATAGAAAATATTTTTCAAAATAAAACCAAGATTCATTCCCTTCATACCATAAAAGTGTGCAATCATTTCAATGATACACCATAAAAGACAACTTCAAATTAGCTTCCTACGAACTGATATCAGATCAAAAGAGCTCCATGAATTGAACTTTAATTTCATACCAATGCATCTAATTTCAATAGGAAATGTTCTCATTTTATTAAATTAAAATCATTGGGGATTCTCGATCAAAGGGACTGTAATGATGTCAATTGATTCGAAATTGGCCTAAGAACTGAAGCCAGATCACATCTCTGTAAAGGAGCTCAATTATCTGAAGCCAAAGAAACACAGACTGTTGCCACAAATTAAAGAATCGTTCAACGCAAATAATCTGTTCTCCAAGCGGTGACACAAATAGGGCAGCGATGGCGGACCAGTAGACGTTTAGGCCGAACTCACACTAAACATTTACCAGTAATAACTTGGAAATATTTTGATAACAGTTCAAAGAAATTTGCAAAAGAAATCTCACAATGAAACGAACAAACCGGATTTAAGTTAGCACTTAAAAAAGAGCATCTGTTGGTTAAATACTCAAACGCAAACGCAATTTGAATAAGCTCTCAAGAATAGTTCTGTCACTTCAAATTCTAAAATGACAGAGATAGCACGATATTTCAGCACAACTTAAAATTGAGTACCATTTTAGTGTTTGGGAATATCTGACAGCTGTGTAGTGAAGACAATATCTTTCTTACCATTATCTTTCTCTTTTTGTGGATGTCGTAAAAGTGGTGAAGGGACTACAGATTTTACAGAGGTCAGGTAACAGGTCTCTGTGATAAACTTACCCTACTTAATAAAGATTATGACAAACCCTATTATGTGTAGAATGGTCATAGAAGACCAGCAGTGGCCTGTCATGGGCTGGTAATGATGACAAAACAGGTCCGAATTTTTTAAATTAAAATATTACATAACATAACATAACATCACGCCTTTTATCCCCGAAGCGGTAGGCAGAGGTGCACATTATACTACTGTACAATGTAACACCCACTTTTCACTATTTATGTTATGAGTCCCGTGTAATAGGGGGTGAGCCTATTGCCACAACCAGACTCCGTGCTCCTCTACTGAGAATATTTAAAAAACCCAGTAATACTTTGCTCGACCCGGGAATCGAACCCAAGACCCCTTGCCCCGGCAGTCGGAATTGCGACCACTCGGCCAACGAGGCAACGAGAAGAGTATGAGATTTGTAGAGAATTAATTAAGTTACTTAAGTGTACTTTCACCCTAAAGAAGACCTTTTATAAATACTTTTCTTGGTACGTTGAATGGAGGTGAAAGTGTCTTTGTGTATTAATGTGTACGAGTATTTATCGGAACAGAAAATTCATAAAATATAATGCTAATAACTTCATAGAAATAGTTAGAAAGTAGCACACAACATACAAGCCACTACCAAGTGACTAAGATATTATGCAAAACGAAATCATTTCTAAGTATTGAACATGTTTGTCAGTCTTACTTTTTGGTGCATATAGGTACAGGAAGTTATGTGGTGTCGGAAGAGTAAATTACATTGGTCATCACCCATTTTCTTCAAGTGGGATCACAACCATAATAATTACTTGTGACAAGAATTATTCTTGTCACAGATTTATTGACGGTCGCTTATGTTCATCGAGTACATACATTGTAGCTAACAATTTAATATAAATTTAACATTATATTTAAAACGATTACCCGCAGGTTTTAATACTGATTTGGTTTGAATATAAGTATTTTGTTGTGTTTTTGATGTTAGGCCATTTTCCACCAGGTATGTTATGAGTTCCATGTCATTGCAGATGACTCCAGTCATCCATCGAGCACAATATCAGACTGCATGATATGATTAAGAATTTAAAAAAACTGGAATATCCTCAATACTCAGGAATGAAACACGTGATTCTTTTGCTTGCAGTCATGCATATGACTTGCGGTTACGTGGACAATGGGCCTTAAACTTACATACGTACAGTTTAAAATCGTTTGTTCTTTTCTTTTTGTTCACAGTTGCGTTTGGATTCATTTCACAGATTGACTGCAGCAGCCAGTATGATAAGTGAGTATGATGTGAAACATTTGAACCGCTCTGTTAATTTTTGCTACACAATTTTCTTGAGGCGCTTACCTATAACTAGAAAAATCTTCGTTAATAATTATCTATATACCTTACTGGAGTATGATGATAGATAATACTATATTACGTCATGAATTATGATTCACATTAAACGAATAAAAATTTTAAGACAAGGTTTGTGGGAAAAGAAAATCTGGAAAACTTCCTGAGTAAATCAGAAAATAATAGGCGGCTGGGATGCTAGTGTAACCATGTACCTAGTTACCTACCTACGTTGCAGAAGATCGTAATGGTAGTTCATTTGCAAAGGTCCTAATATAATCTTATTTGTTCCTAGCTACACACTCATACGCCTGCACCCAACTTCAGAGGAACATCAGAAATCCGTGACGCAGTTTAATGATCCTACGGGAGAAATCGAAATTATGAAGGAGAGTCGCGGGGTCAATGACACGCTGGACATATTGGTACCACCAAGCAGAATGAAATTTGTGCATGAGTACGCAAATACTAACGGACTAGTGTTAGAAGAAAAACAACCGAACTATGGCAGGTCAGTGAAATTAGATAGATTGCACTAATATCCCAATTAAAATAATAACAGCCTTATTAACTATATTCAACTTTACTTAGTTTTAGTCCTTTTAGTCGAATAAAAGGTGAAAAGTACAGAATTCTAATAAATGGCTAATATTTATATATTTTTCTCAGGACTTTAGAAGACGTGCCAGATAGACTTCCAAGGAGAAGAATTCTGGAGCGTTTTGGCATATTTAATTACAATTCATACGATAAAGTAAGTTCTTATATCGATATACTAACAGAACTAGAAATAATCTAATTAAACTATTTGAAATATCAAAAAGCAATACTTTGAGCTAATCCAACAAACGAATCTAATAGCCATTGATTGAAAATCGACCTTCTGACTTGTGACCAATCGATCAATGAGACAGTTTACACCAAGGCCTACCTATTAAATTGGCTATTCTGTAATTACAAAATTAAATAAATAATTCATTAATTTAGATGCAAGAGTTCATTGAAGCCAAGGCACAGAAATATGGTGCCCTGGTGCAGCTGCAGGACCTTGGCAAGAGTTTCCAGGGTCGCAAGATGAGGCTCGTCAAGATATCAACCAAACCAAGTGCTAACAATCCTATCATATTTGTCGATGCAGGTAACTACAGCATTGTTTTCTTCACAATGATAAATTTCACTGTATCAAGTTTTTTTAAGGCTATCATCTAGATGAAGATACGTATTGTGTTTCTCCCAAAATAAAAATGCAACATTCATTATGGAAATCAACAACGATTCATCGACGATAATAATGGTACGCTAATAAATGTAATGTTACAGGTGTTCATGGCAGAGAATGGGTAGCACCAGCAATGGCACTATATTTGATTGATCGTCTGACTATCGACCCTAGGGCCTTCCAGAGAGGTGGTGAGCTGGATGGTGTCGACTGGTACATCCTACCCCTGGTCAATCCTGATGGTTACGAATACACCAGATCCAGCAGAAGTGTAAGCATTTCAGTAATATGAAACGTTGGTGCATCCTGTTAATGAATTGTGAGTGTACGTTGTAATTCTTTTCTCTACAGAATCGCATGTGGAGGAAAACAAGATCAAAACATGGCTCCAGCCATTGTTACGGCGTTGACGGCAACCGGAACTACGGCTTCAAGTGGGCAGTAAGTGGAGTATCCAGCGACCCTTGCCACAAAGAGACATACGCTGGTCCTCAGCCTTTCTCGGAACCCGAGACGCAAATGGTCAGAAATGTTATGATGGACAACGCAAAGCGGATGAAGTTGTACGTATCACTACATTCTTACGGTCAATACTTGGTCTACCCATGGGGATATACAGGAGAATATTTGCCTAAACAATGGAAGAAACTGGATAATATGGCAAAATCAGTATCGGACGCTGTAGAGCGAGCTGGAGGACAACCATTTAAAGTCCTCAGTGCTGGTAAATGGTACCCTGCAGCCGGCGGGAGCGATGACTTTGCCTTTGGAGCTGCGGGAGTCCCATATTCCTATACCATGGAGTTGACTGAAGGACATGAATTCGCATTCCCTGAAAACCTTTTAGAAACAGTATTACCCCAGTTCTATGAGGGATTCAAAGAGTTTGGTGCTCGAATCAGGGCTGAATTTGGTAACCAAAGGAAAAAGAGAGAGATCTTGGATACACAGTGACTTGTTGAAGACTGACATCATGAAATAGAGTACGATTATAGTAAATAAGAATAAAAATTTAAAACGAATTGGTTTTATTGATTTCCAAACATTTTATTGCTGCAGCAATATTTTTCATGATTCTTGCAATAGTATCGACACGTGACCGTTGACCAGTGAACGTTGACATGCAAAGAGATGAATAATTTTTTACTAATACTTTTATTTACATTAATTGCTGGTGCGTAGTTTGAGTAAGTCATTCTTGTTGTCCATTAAGTAGCTACAAGGAAGTATAATTGTAGTTTATTTTTATTTTAGTGATTATTAAAACAAATGATGCTTCAAGATGTGGGTAAGTGACGTTCTGAAAAATGTAATAGTTTTTTAATACTCCAACTTGTGATAAGAAAATCATATTACTTTTTAATCAACAAATAGAATGTTTTTAGTTGTAAAAACTTAAGACATTGCTACGGGGAGATGTTACATACGTTACTGGATAGAGATGAAGCGGCGTGTATAGAAGATGCAGCAATTGGTGCAAGTACGGTAAGACTAGCCAATGCAGTATGGCTGTACGTAGATAATCGTCCATATATTGACAATGAGCTTACGGTTACAGGTGACAATATTTTTGAAAGCCATAAGGGAATACTGTGGAGATGTAATGAACGTTATAAGTGAACATATGACTTATGAAGGGAGACATTTATATGAGGTAATAAAGTGTTAATTTTTTTCCATTGTTGTTCTCCGCCAATGTCATAACGAAACAACTTCTTTAGGAGCATACCAGTTGTCATTTGGAACAAAATATTTGTTTTTATTGTTAGATTTGCCGTAGAAACAAAAAGCAATTTCCTTTAAGGATAAGATAATAATGATAATAACTCAATATCGGTAGGTAGTCCTAACCAAAGACCGTCCACCTTCCGATAAATCAGAAGACCAGCAATCAAAGCCAACGATCATCATCGAGGCTGGACAGGAAGGAGGCACAGAATCCGTAGGGTTGGCCCTTTATATAATAGAACAATTGGTCGCGTGTGAGGACTACGAACCCATGCTCCAGTACGTCACCTGGGTTATACTGCCATGTACTAACCCTGATGGACAGGAGTACTCCAGATATGTGAGAGACGTTTATTTTTCTTTCTGTCTTTATCAAACGAAATTAATAGATAGGTTAAAATTAATAAACGAACTTTATTAAGTTCGTTACCAGATACCAATAGGTAGGGATCTGGTAACAGACTTTAGATAATTATCGTGACAAAACATAGGCATTAATGTGACATGTTTTCGCAAAATTAGTAGAGTCGCGGATAATTAGTGTATTATCTTATAATTTTCTAATTTGTTTTTATTTTATTTTAACCATTCAGACATTAAAGAATCTATCAGTTGAATTTGTTAGTAAAACTATGTGGTAATGGTTTTAAGTTTAAGTTATATTTTATGTAATCCATTATAGAGTCAAGTTTCGTGGAAAAAGAATCTGAGACCTTCAGAAGATCAACTAAGTTATGGCGTGGATATAACACGGAATTTCGATACTCAGTGGGGTTCTTGTCCCAAAATTGAATCTGGATTCTCACCAATCTACCCCGGAGTTGGACCGGCTTCAGAAAATGAAACAATGTTCATTAAGAGCGTTATCGCGAAACATAAAAAAGAGGCGAAACTTTACGTGTCATTAAAGCGCGACGGACATTCAATTCATTATCCGTACGGGCACACGAAGAGCGATCCCAGCAACCCGTCACAGCTGCACCGCGTGGCTGGTGATATAGCAATGCGAGTCAATCAAAGAACTGGTGGCGTGCATTTGTTCATGAACACCAGCGTGTTCGACTCCGAGGGCAAGGCCCACTGTGGACACAGCGTCGACTACGCGTACGAGAGTGGTATCCCATTGTCTTATGAAATGCGTGTTTTCCTCGGATCAGACAACAAAATAATGACCAAGTTTCAATCCTTACCACGGGGATACGATAATTCTCTAAGAAATGGATATTTCAGTGGCATAAGAGAAATGTATAACGTACTCACTAATGAGAAGAAATACGGTAAAATTACAAAATAAACCTTATTTTTATAAAACTTTGGGTCGTCTTTTAATCGCTTCCACGAGTAAATTACCTATGTGTGTGGGGCGTACATTACAAGTATATAAGACGGAGAAACGCAACCGGGCCCGACATATATCACTATTCAGATTGCCTCAAATTATGTGCTCCAAATCGAGCATAAAAATCTTCAACTAGGTCAAAATTATGTACTGGGATCGGCATCTATTACGATACAATATTTATTTAGTACATAATGGTGTATCTACGTTGGAGGAGTCACTTTTCCACTTTTCGGTAGGATGTCGGTCATGCGCGTTAGGGCGCCTGAAACGCGCCTGCGCTAGGGGTGGGGCCCGCAGCCGTTCAGCCCGCTGCCACTCTGTAGTCAGCCGCGGCGGCAACACCGCGCTTTCTCTGCCACCTCTCCCAGTACCCTGTCCTCCTAGTACCTCTCTCGACTCTAACTCGAACTTAACTCTGCCGCCGCTCGCGCTCAAATTCTAAACATTTTTATTCGTTCGTTTCTTTTCACATTACGCTTTTCATTTCTCGTTGACGTTTACTTTGTAGTGTTTTTACATTTTTTAAGTTGTTTAAATAAAAAATAAAATATCTAAAAAGAAGAACTTGAAGACAAAATAAAAATATATTTGTTTGTTTTTTTGTAGTTGATTAATTTTGTGTTGTAAATAAAAAGAAAAGCTGGTCGCTGAGTTCTTCTCGTCTGTGGTAAGTTAAATTTAGGACAGAATTTTCAGGAGTCGTACAAGTCGTTCGAGAGTTGGAGACTTCGGAATAAGTAGTAGCATAGTAAGAGGAAAGAGCCGTTTCGAATGGGGCGGAAGGCGGTCCCGTCGGCAACAGGTTGGTGGCGAGCGACGGGCGCCGGGCGCGGAAACGTTGCCTTCTACCCGTAGCTGAGCTCCGCAATTCTATTAACTGTTAATAAACACCCCAGATAGCAGCCTTTAACGCTAATTACCACCGAGGGACTTATAATATTAAATTTCTTGCCATTCTCGTTGAAAATTCCGTTAAAATATTACTTTTCTGCAATATGAGCTAGGGAAAATAAATTGCACGGTCCTTGTCGTTTATTTGACGTATTTACTTTGAAATTTGGGTTATGGTTGTAATAAATGATCGGGGAATATTTACCAAGTCTAGAAAAAGTAACCACAATCATTTAAAACGTTTAAAAAATGTAGGACGTGATAATAATTGACCAAATATGAAGTAGTTCCGTTTTCACGGTATTGCTATGTTTATTTGGGTTCTTTCAAAGGTTTTTCTTAGAGATATAACTAATAAAACTGTTGGTAAAGACAATTCCAATAAATCAGATGTTTATACAGCCAATTCCAATAATATAAAAGGAGAAAATATCTGAACTGCTTTTTATTACTTTAAATAGCAGTACACAGCAATTTTTATTAGCTTATTAATTTTCTGGAAGACTATGCCACAGATAATCAAGAAATGTATCTGTGCTATAATTTCTAAGTCTATCTATTAAAAAAATAATATTTCCCGAAATAAAAGACTCTTGTAATATTTTACAAATGGCTGCTAAGTTCACATTAATTTAATTTTTGGGGAATCCGAACTTTTTGGGGTCTGCAAAACGTTTTAAAAGTTTTGAAGTATTTCAAATTTTTGGGTTGTGCGAAGATATTTCTAAGTTACATTAGATTTGTAGTTAGTTTAAAAAGAGGCTGCAAATACGTAAAAAAACCCATTTAGGCTACATTTTCATTTAAAAATAATTAATTTCTACTAACTTACAAATATTAAAGTTAGTTTACCAGTATTAAACTTAGTTAAAAAACAAATAAGCTCGTTTAAAATATAAATTAACTTAAATAAAATTGGAATACCTATTGGAATAATTTTAACGCCTGTGCGGTTATAAAAACATTAAAAGTCATATAAACGTTATCATTTTTAATAAATTAATATCAGTACTACTATACTGAGGAATTTCACTTCCATTTTCAAAAAGACTAAATGACCGTTGTTCTAAATTCAAATATGTAAAAAATAAATGCAATATGGCACAGGTCAGAGTTTCATACAGCCTAATAGAAGTGTATAGCGGGAGTTCCATTTTCAAAAGACGTTAAAAGTCGTTGCTCTAAATTCAAATAAAAAATAAATGCAACGTGGCACAAGTCATAGTTTCATACAGTCTAATAGAGTAGAGGTGTACCAATTAGGGTTGCTATCAGATAGAGGTATATGGGGACAAACGACAAACAGAGGGACCCTAGTTTCATAACTAAACTTTGAAGTGTTGATAAGAACTGTGTATCGATCGGTCTCATTAACCAGTCGAGTCGCGTATACCATAGATAAGAGTGTTATGCGGGTACTTTGCACAAAACACATTCGCCCACATACTGTGCATTATACGCCAGTTAAAGATAGTCTGACTCACCTTACCATTTTGTGGGAGTTTCACATTAAATTTTATAAGTCACGAATTGGGGTCTATTTTTAAGAACTCTTAGGGATAAAAATAATTGGGGGTAAAATTGCAAATTTCCGTTGCTATTTAAAAAAAATGTTTTCGGTGAATTTTAAAATAGGTTTGTGGGTCCTCATCGGTTTGTATTTTGAGCAAGTCTATGGGATAGATTATATTATTTTATATTATTATCGCAAAGAAAATATTATGTTGTTCGCAGTAACTATTGGCGTACAATATTTTCATATAACGATTTCGGGGAATGAAATGCCTAGAAAAAATATTATTCGTAAGTTTAAATGAGCAATTGAATTTATCGCCAAAATTTTACTGCAACTTAGCAAAATAACTGGTGACAAGAGCAATTTAAATCAAAACCTGGAGATTTCTTCATAAAAATTGATTAATTTTTCAATAGGTAACCCAGAGGATCAAAACTGGTCCTTTGGATTACTATTTTGCTAGAGATAGATTTTATTCATTAATTCACGATTAGTAGAAATGTTGCAGAAATAGGTGCTTTTCAGTCCATTCTGTCCAATCTATACTGTGACGGTACTGTTAAGATCTATGTAGTTCGTATGTAGTTTGGAGTTGGACAGATCCTAATATTTCTCTCTACTCCAATAATTCTCATGGCCACGATGAGTCTGGCAGAATCCCCTTGGATTTAAAGACTCTTATTATAAATGTTAGTAGAATCGCTCTTATGCAAATATGATACTTGAGTGATCAGTAGAATGAAAAAGCTTTTTAAAATTGCTAGAAGACACAATGGCGAATATTTGCAAATATTACAAGTTATATATTTTTAGCTAACATTTTATTAATTTATAATTTATCGTTGGAACGGATTGGAAAGAATTCTGGAAAAATAATGTAGTTAACACAACAGGAAATTTTGATTATTACGGAAAATAAAAGAATTACTGAGTATACAAATATTGAATGGTGTAAAATACAATAGTAGGTATATTTTAAATATTCTGGAAAAACGTAATACGTTGTATTTAAATTTAATTGAAATACGACAACGATTTAAATCTCTGAAAATATTATTATGAAAAGCTTTAGGAAATATTTACACAATTTTAAAAAATGGCTAAGAACTACTAAAAATAAAATTAATTAAGATAAAAGGTTTTTTTTTTAATTGAACTTCGAAAATGGCAAGAAATTATGTTATTTATAGTCTTTTCTGTGAATTAATATCGTCGGTTTGTAGGTTACCTACGTACTTTTATTACAGAAATATAATAGTTGAATATTAAACAAAATGTCTAGACATATACTGTTCATACACAGATATAAAATTAAAATCTTTAAAAAATAACTTAAAATTGGCCGGTAATTTATTTTTCTGTACAAAAGAACTTGTGTCTTAAGTCACGATATATTTTGTGGGATATTTAAGGATAACTTTTTTATATATTTGATGGGCCGACGTCCGTCCATTATCCCGCCTGGTTGTAAGCGATGATGCGGTCTACGATACGAAATAACCAAAGTTTTTTTTATGGCATAAGCCGGTAAACGAGCAGACGGATAAGCAATCGGGATCGACCATGGACATCTGAAACACCAGAGGCGTTACAAGTGCGTTACCGGCCTTTTGGGGATTAGGAGTTTGAGGATCGTTGGGGATTCAGGAATTGGGGGGATTGGGGAAGGGGAGGGTAACTGGGCCTCCGGTAACCTCACTCACACGACGAAACACAACGCAAGCGTTGCTTCACGTCGGTTTTCTGTAAGGCCGTGGTATTACTCCGGTCGAGCCGGCCCATTCGTGCCGAAGCATGGCTCTCCCACACTTACGAAGTTAAGGAATATTTTGATACAGAAAATGAAAATATGCTCCAGATATATTATAAACTAACTTTCATATGTATAATAAATTATGAATAAACAACTAAACCCTACAACAAAGACATTCAGCAGTTTTTGAGTTTCTCGGGATCAAATTGTAGACGGCATGACGTAAAAATTGACTACTTTTTATAGTAAGGCTGTATTCGGTAATGTAAATGGGCAAAGGGACCACATTAATACTTTTAGATTATTTCGAACTGCTCGGAATTTAGACATTGATTAAATCGTTCAGTACCTACTTGTTCGTCCTGGTCTTACAAACCTACTGATCATAGGAACCTACAGTCTACAGTTCATAGGCATAATATGTTAAATTAAATAGACGGTTAGGTTAGGTTAGGTTAGACAAAATTTCAAGAGAAAAATTTTAAATATTTGACAATTCTTCGACACTTAAAACTATCACAAATCAATTTTTCTATAGTTAACACGTTAAACGCCATAGGGGTCATCGGTGACTGACGTTAGCGGAGGATACCTTCAACATTTTTATTGGCAGTCAAATTCTTAATAATTATTTGTTGATTGAAAAGTCAGACACATATTTTTTTTCATAATACTCGACAGTAATTTGTTCCATCAGACAAATTGCAATCGTATACGAAACTTCTAGGTCTACAATCTCACTTTAGAATTTCTAAACGATATAGATAGTAAGTTTATAAATAATATTCATAA